TTGTTACAATGATCTTGGAGATCCAGACAATGGTCCACTTTATGCCAGACCAGTTCTTGGGGGTTCTGTAGAGTATCCTTATCCGCGAAGAGGAAGAACAGGACGACCACCATCTAAGGCTGGTAAAGTCTTTCAATAAAAGCATTTGCACTATTTTTAAAACCTATATACACATATGTACCCCTATTTGTTTATTTTTACACTTTCTTGGACAGATCCTAACAGTGAAAGCCGGCTTCCACAAATAGCTAGCTTTGCAATTTATGTCCCGAGGGATGAAAAGTTTTCGCCTTTAAAGATGACAGATGTCCTAAGTAATTCACAGAAAGCCATTGCGCAAGTCTTTGCTCCTCAGCTTGCTTCTTTAGGAAATCTCTCTCTCAATGAGTTCAACAGCTTTGACGATGTACTGAAAGTGTATGAACCTGGAACTCCAGGATTTCTCAAGTATCCAACACCACATGTTATTAGAGGTAATTTTGGATCAGACTTTCAGTTGAGTCATTTCTGTAATAATTCAATTTTTGTTGTGTTCTCTAAAATTTTAATTTGGTGAAACAGAGGAGAAGTCAGCTTGGATGTCAGATGAAGAATTTGGAAGAGAGACGTTAGCTGGATTGAACCCTGTGTGCATAACTGGTCTAAAAGTATAGTCTTCCAGTTTTTTTTTCTAATTCTTCTATCTTGTCTATTGTCCGAGGAATGGAGTAGATGACATTCTATTCATTTTTGGTACAGGAGTTCCCCCTGACTAGCAAACTGGATCCAAAAACTTTTGGTGACCAAACAAGCAAAATAACCAGAGAACAAATACAGAATCAGCTAGATGGAATGACCATTGAACAGGTAAGTGACTAAACGGGTTATTGTTTCTTGCTTTGGAATGAATCTAACTCAAATGTACATTTGCTACTTCTTAGGCCATGGAGGTGAACCGACTTTTCATGCTGAACTACCATGACATTGTAATGCCATATGCGAGGAAAGTTAACACTTCTCATTCAAAGATTTATGCCTCAAGAACTGTGCTCTTTCTGCAAAAGGACGGTACTTTGAAGCCACTGGCCATTGAACTAAGCTTGCCTCATCCAGATGGAGATCAACTTGGCGCTATAAGCAAAGTATTCACTCCAGCTGAAAACGGTGTTGAGGGTGCCTTATGGCAAATTGCAAAGGCATTTGTAGCAATTAATGATTCTGGAGTTCATCAGCTTCTCAGTCACTGGTATTTCAAACTAACTGAAGTCTATGCAGTTTATTCTGTTACTGAATATTTGTTTGATCACACGTCTAATGTTCTTCACAGGTTACGTACTCATGCATCAGTTGAGCCTTTTGTGATTGCTGCAAATAGGCAGCTAAGCGTGCTCCATCCTGTCTATAAGCTTTTGCATCCTCACTTCCGTGATACTATGCATATCAATGCCTTGGCTCGACAGGCTGTGCTTAATGCTGGAGGTATTGTTGAGAAGACTGTTTTCCCAGGACCATTGTCAATGGAGTTAACATCTATTGCTTACCGGGACTGGGTTTTCCCTGATCAAGCTCTCCCTGCGGAACTTGTTAAGAGGTAACTCGCAACTTGGTGTGCTAGTTTATCTACTATGTAATGATTTCCTAATGTAATACTGCTTTTTTGTGTACTGTTTTTCTTCAGAGGAGTGGCAGTCGAAGATCCTTCATCCAAACATGGTGTCCGCCTACTTATTGAAGACTATCCTTATGCTGTGGATGGACTTGAAATCTGGTCAGCAATCAAAAGTTGGGTACAAGAATATATTTGTTTGTATTATAAATCAGATGACATGCTTCAAGTGGACACTGAACTTCAAGCCTGGTGGAAAGAACTCCGTGAAGTAGGACATGGTGACAAGAAAGATGAGCCTTGGTGGCCTAAAATGCAGACACGCCAAGAACTCATTGACTCAGTGACTATCATTATCTGGATGGCTTCTGCTCTTCATGCAGCTGTTAATTTTGGGCAGTACCCTTATGGAGGCTTTGCACCAAATCGCCCTGGTATGAGCCGAAGGCTTATTCCCGAGCCAGGAACTCCTGAGTATGAGGAGTTGAAGGTGAACCCTGTAAAGGGATATCTGAAGACAATTACACCACAGTTCCAGACTCTGATTGGAATATCTGCTCTCGAAGTTTTGTCAACACATACTTCTGATGAAATTTATCTTGGCCAGAGGGATTCTGCTGAATGGACCAAGGACAAAGAAGCGCTGCAAGCATTTGAAAGGTTTGGAAAGAAGCTTGCTGAAATTGAGGAGAATATTACAAAGATGAACAATGACAAGAAGTGGAAGAACAGGACAGGTCCTGTTAAGATGCCATACACATTGCTCTATCCGACAAGTGAACCAGGACTCACTGCCAAAGGAATTCCAAATAGTATTTCAATCTAAGTTATTTGCTAAAATGTTCCCAGTGATATCATCACTAGGTTTATGACAGGCCTCTAAACTAAATAGGCTCTGTCTAGCTATCGCGTAGCTTTATAATGCTAAACCATCTTCTGTTTTGGTTTTATAATTATAATATGAGAAATGTCTCTCTCCTTAGTTACATTTGTGGTTTATCGGTTTCCTTGTTCTCCTTTTGAACTTGACTGTAGCACCAACTCTGAAATTCAATTGCAACATTTTGGGTGTTTTCAATGTTAAATTGAAAACAGGAAGGACATGCAAACTTATTCATAACTATTTCAGAGAATTGGTTTGAATGCCCCTTCAATTGTAACTAATTCCTTACCCTGCAACCTATTCTCATTTCTTAAATAGAAAGACGTCAAAAAATGTATCATATAGTTAAGTTGAAGGAAGAAGAATTAAATTTATTTGCTTAAATTTATTGAAAGAAACAGACATGACTGAAAAACTACTGTTACTTGTATAAGTACTATTTCCTGTTCAATTTAGTATCATCTTGTTCTTGTTTAGAGTCTCAATTTTATTTTCTGTACTCAGTGGAAAGTATCTAAGATAAGCAAGAGGAGCTAACAAGTAAGAAAGGAATCAAGAAGATTTTCTAACATGCTATTTAAATAAACAATGGTAAAGTGAAAGCACTTGTTGTTTATCCAAGTCACACTCACTACCTCCCAAGCCTTCAAGTTACATTAGCAAGCTCCTATACTTTTCTTGCTCAGTGAAACGTTTGTTTATGTTATTCCAGATTCCTTATCTTGATTAACTTCACATGCTCATGAAATACAGATGGACATTTAGCTCTCCGCTGCAGTAATGGTTGCTTGTTGGGCGTCTATAACAGTTGCATGGTTACATGGGTAGTATGTGTTTAGGCCAAAGAAGATACTGCAAACATGCAGTTATCTTCAATGAGATCCGTGGAGTGATAATGAGACCAATACTCCTTCACAAGTTGCCCGAAGAGCGAACCTTCTTGCTTCATCAGCTTCATTGTTCATCATACTCCACTAAATGCCCTGTAATCTCAAACAAAGTTAAAGTTACTACAGCTAAAACATTCTGGGATTAGCATGTTTGAAAGTCTGAACATAGTCGTCTGTAAAAGAAAACCACCAAGTCTTACCATCACTAATGGCCATAACCATCGTACAATCCATTACTGTAGGTATCCTGTGGGCAACTGTAATTACAGTACTGTTAGAAAATTCTGTCCTGATAGTTTTCTGCAATATCATATCAGTGGCATTGTCGATCGATGCAGTTGCTTCGTCAAGCACCAAAATCTTGCTTTTCCTCAAAAGAGCACGTCCCAAACAGAACAATTGCCGCTGCCCCATGCTCCAGTTTGATCCATCTTCCACAACTGAAATAACTCTACAATGGTCAACAGAAACCTACTTGGATAAAATAATCATACCTGCTGCTGGAAAACTTACCCAATGAGTCAAGCCCCTTTGCTTTTTCTTCAACTGCCTCTTTCAGCTGACATTTTGCAAGAACCTTTCCAATGGAGATGAGAATGAATGCAATGAATCAGAAGATCGCTTTGGTACAATGCACATTCTCCGTCTAGTGCAAAAGCAAAAAAAAAAAAAAAAAAAAACAA